ACTAAGATTGTCGAATTTACAGTAGAAAAGATCATTTTTGTCTGCATGGTAAATGGCATGGAGGTTCGTTGTGACAAATGGAAAGAGTTCATTACAAGTATAGTACGATATTCGGATGGTACCGATTTGTATCGTCAAAGTGCAATTAATCGCAAACGTTCTTTAAATGTCAATTCTACAGATGACCCCATGTTTAATGTTTCCTTTCTTGATATAAAGATTAGTGTTATCAAGAAAGGACATCTTTTTCTTGTATGGGATAACCATAACTTGCGCTATAAACAGCAAGCGTGATATACCACTATTATAGCGGAATTTACGTTTCTACGGAAGCCCATTAGTGCAAACCAAAAATATATAAAGAAAAACGGAATTAATATATAAAGGAAAACCAAAAATATATAAAGGAAAACCAAAAATATATAGAGGAAAACCAAAAATATATAAAGAAAAACCAAAAAAATATAAAGAAAAACCAAAAATATATAAAGAAAAACCAAAAATATATGAAGAAAAACGGAATTAATATATAAAGAAAAACGAAATTAATATAAAGAAAACGGAATTAATATATAAAGAAAAACGAAATTATTACATAAAGAAAAACGAAATTGTTAAAAGTAGAAAAACTTCAACTAAAATACGGAATTTATTGAGGTGCACGGTAAGGGTCTGAACCCATAAATCATTAGTGCACCGCGTCTAATAGACCTGATTTTGTTTCAACAATAAACAAGCGTGGTGTTTGCCTTTACATTCACCTTTTCCTATATCGAAAACACATCCATTACAATACATGAATGGGGAGAATTTAATCTTTGATATCTAATTGCACAACTATTTAAGAAAACATGAACTTTAAGATTCTGTTGTTTACAACATTTAACATTCAGGAATCCCTTATCCATTATTCAACTATCGCACAATATTTTCATTAAAAATGTTGTAAAATAATACGTTATCGATCGGACTTGGGTTTGTTTGACATTTTTAAAAAAATTGTTTAAAGAGAACAGGTGCAAAAAGTAAAACAAGTCAAAGTGGTTACAAGTAGATTTTTATGATTGTTTACTATATTAGAAATAAAGCAAATCACCATCAGTTGATTCTTTGATCTTATCAACGCATAATTAGAGGTGATGTACTGGCTACTAAGTACTTGCTCTCACATATTATAAATGTCCAACTCTCAATATGTACTATTTATGAGTCAGTGGTACTATAGTTCTTGCTCTCATATATTTTAAATGACAAACTCTCAATTTGTGTATTTATAAGTCGGTGACAATGCACACACTTGTAAATAACAAATCCCACAAAGTAATGAAATCATTTTTCTTATAGTTTCAACAATCTAAGATTTATGGGTACACAGATTCGGACGCTAGGTTTAGATCGTGGGAATCCAGTAATACGATACGCAAGGTCGTGACCTTCTAGCTGAGCTCTAATGGGCTTCTACAAAGCCCAATAGTGCAAACCAGAAATAAATAAAGAAAAAACGAAATTGTTAAATAAAGAAAAAACGAAATTATTAAATAAAGGAAAAACGAAATTATTAAATAAAGAAAAAACGAAATTATTAAATAAAGGAAAAACGAAATTATTAAATGAAGAAAAACGAAATTATTAAATAAAGAAAAACAAAATCATTAAATAAAGAACAAGAGGCCCATGGGCCCAATCGCTCACCTGAGCACTGTGGCTAGGAAAAAGTATAGAAATTGGTTTATTATTAAAAAGTTTAAATCCAAAAGCAATCCAATGACCAGTCATGGCTTTGGTATTATTTAGAACATAAATTTTAAAAGAATGTTCCTATATATGTCTATGTAAAACTTTATTGGTCATTGTGGCTCGCCCCCCCCCCCCATCCCAGGGTCATGATTTGTACAAACCTGAAACTGGACAAGCTGAGGATGCTTTCATATAAATATGACCAATTATGGCTTTGCAATTCATAAGAAAAAGATTTTTGAAAAAAAAAATTCCTATATATTTCTATGTAAAACTTTGGTCGGCCATTGTGGTCCCGCCCTACCCCCAGGGGTCATGATTTGAACAAACTTGAATCTCCACTACCTGAGGATGCTTCCATATAAATATGAACATTTATGTCTTTGCAATTCTTGAGAAGAAGATTTTTAAAGAATTTTCGCATATATTTCTATGTAAAACTTTGGTCGGCCATTTTGGCCCCGCCCTACCCCGGGGGTCATGATTTGAACAAACTTAAATCTACACTACCTGAGGATGTTTCCACATAAGTTTCATCTTTCCTGACACAGTGGTTCTTGAGAAGATTTTTAAAACATACCATCAAATTTTCATTAATTCCCAATTATCTCCCCTTGAATGAGGGCGTGGCCCTTCATTTGAAGAAACTTGAATCCCCTTTACCCAAGGATGCTTTGTGGCAAGTTTGGTTGAAATTGGCCCAGCGGTTCATGAGAAGAAGTCGAAAATGTGAAAAGTTTACAGACGGACAGACAGACGACGGACAAAATGTGATCAGAAAAGCTCACTTGAGTTTTCAGCTCAGGTGAGCTAAAAACGAAATTATTAAGTTAAGATAGCATCGTTGATAAGTTTAACAAAACAAAACGCGAGGATAAGGGTTCCAGTCACGCGTGGTTCATTCCACAGTGAGTGTGTCTTCAGCGCCAGACAGGGACATGCTGGACGAAGAATTTTAGAAATGTCCACAAGAAGAACAAAATTCCATTTTAGAAATGTGTTCTTGTATTACGACGTCCTTATGAAATGAGGGGAATGTAGAAGTAAAAATAGTCACGAAGTAATCAAATCATCCTCGTTTTTGTTTCAACAACCCGTGATTTATGAATATACAGATGGGGCGCTAGGCTTATTCCGGAGGGAATTTTTTAATACGATAAGCAAGGTCTTGACCTTTCAGCGATTCAAGCGATTTGAATTGGATGTCATTGATTTCAATCAAGCAGAAACATCCACCCTCATGATCCTCTATGCATAATGCTACACATCAACAAATTACGTATACCGCTGAACAATTATTGACAATTTACTTCAAACATTAGATAGAAGTATTTGTTTCAGTTGATGTTTTCTCTTTCTCCCTCACTCTTCTTTTTATTTAATAATTTCGCTTATCTTTATTAAATAATTTCGTTTTTCTTTATATATCAATTCTGTTTTTCTTTATATATTAATTTCGTTATTCTTTATATATTAATTCCGTTTTTCTTTATATATTAATTTCGTTTTTCTTTATATATTAATTTCGTTTTTCTTTATATATTAATTTCGTTTTTCTTTATATATTAATTCCGTTTTTCTTTATATTAATTCCGTTTTTCTTTATATATTTATTCCGTTTTTCTTTATATATTTTTGGTTTTTCTTTATATATTTTTGGTTTTCCTTTATATATTTTTGGTTTTCCTTTATATATTAATTCCGTTTTTCTTTATATATTTTTGGTTTGCACTATTGGGCTTCCGTACGTTTCCCTCTAACCTGTTTAAGATTTTGAACCAATTCTTCTTCATATGAATACAAAAAAGGTTTGATAATAACGGGGGCGCAATTGGTACCAATTGGCTTTCCATGAGATTGTTGGAAGACTGGTCTTTAAAAACCACATAGATATTGTCAATTTGAAACTCAAGCATCTGTTTAAATGTTAACTTTAAAGTTTGCGTACAATCAGAATAATTTTAACAAACAATTTTGCAAAATGACCAATGACAAGCTAAAGTAAGTAAATTTACGAAATCCGTTTTTATTGAAAAAGCAACTGTCAATTATATCGAAAAGCCTGGACTTAATGTATCGTGGGGAATGGTAGTATATAAAGTTGAAAAGTCGTATGTTTTATGTTGTTGATTTTGGTAAGATTTTGTGATTACAAATTTTCCAAATCTTCCTTTGAATCTTTAAGTATAATCATCTGATTTACACCACTTCTCAAATATATTGTTGCTCAGTACTCCTGAAGTATATGATTCACTATTGTAAATAGTTTAATGAAAAGTAAAGAAAGAGCCCTGATAGAACATTTACTTGAACCCGTATGTAACTTTGTTTGTAAGGAATTTTATGAATTTTTGGAAAACAATATAGATATGGTAATTCAAATTCTTTTTAGTAAAAAATAGTTGTTGGGAATTTTAAAAATATTGAGAACTAACGTATAATTTTGAAGAATTTCCTGCTTAGAAAGGGAGCTAAAGATATAAGTTGGAATACCACATTTAGAATTAAAACCCAGTTCCCTTACAATACAATTGAAATAATGAGTCTCACAAACAAAGACAATATTGATACCTGCTTTGTCAGCATACTGATCGAATAATCTAGGTTTTTTTTTCACTTCTGAATTATTTAACAAAGAAGGATAGTTGGTTTTCATTTTGCCCATCAATCGCTAAACTGTACATATTAAATGGATTGTTTATCATAAATGGAGACACTCAAATTGATTCCGTGATAAAAGTATGTAATTCTGGCTTTTATTTAAAGCTGAACAAGCTTCGTAAAAAGAATCTGTCCGCCATATTCGATTGGATTCCTGCTATATCTGAGGGTCATATATAAAGCCGCTGACTTAGTCGCTATTCAGTGTACTCAATCGACACGAATGTACACGGACATATGCCATACAGCACTCGTTAGCGACAAAAAATTACTGTGTAATTTTTCAAATGCAGGAGAGTAAGATATACCAAAGAAACTTAAAGCAGTTGCACAGGTCAGTGCAGTATACAAACAAGCACAAATACACGAAATTGTACTAAAATGTAAACAAAGGTAATGTAACATAACCAGCGCCAAAAAATTTGATTTTTTATTAACTTTTGGATGAAATGGACAATATAATTTTTGTGTAACAAATGCAAATATATATCTTAGAGAAAGCATAATCGAAAATGGCAAATGCCTATTTATGACTCAGTGTTTAGCTTTAATATCAATAGTTTGAACGTGTGTAATTTGAAGCATATTTTGTCTTGTTTTAGGAGACACATTTTCAAGTCTTTTGTTCATGAAAGGGGAAGTAAAATGTAATTTTGAAGGAAACAAAGATATTTGTTTTGATCAAGACAATGGTGACAATTTCGACTGGATAATTGCTCGGGTATGATTTTTTTTTAAAGCTTATAGATTTCTTAAGGAGGCTAGGGGTCAACAAATTATTTTTTAACCACCAGAGATAACTTATTTTTTTACATATGATATCTTGAGCTGTCAACTATCATTTGGGAAAGAAAAATTTCATACATTTTAGTTTTAAAATTTGATCATTTTTTTTTAAATTAAATTATTATATGGAGCTCTTCTTCTATAGGAGATCAAAATAATCTAAAAATGACTTCGACCACCCAGCCTCTTTATGAGTCTTAATTTTCTTTTTCTTTATTAAATTTTGCAATTAATATGATTTACTTCATTTTTTCAAATCATATTTTGCCAAACATTGTTTTATATTTAATATATTTTATGCAATTATGGTGGCTTAAAGTGCATTTTTTAAAATTTGAAATACATGTTACTGTATATGTGTATTGTTTTTCTAAAACAAAAACAAAAAAAGTAAATAAAAAAATTCAAAGTGTGCGTTTGGAAAGAGAAACCAACATATTCAAAAATTATCTGATAAAAGATGAAGGTGCAAGAACTTTTAATTTTTTTTAACTTTTTTCTGTCCTCCATCTATTATTTTTATAATCAGTTCCTGTATTAGTAGAATAAGGCCTGGATTCGATGTCGCCAAGCTTAAGGCGAAAAATAGGTAGTGATTGTTTCTTCGCCAAGCGCCCGACATCATTAGTGAAAGTCGCGGTTCTTTCGGTTAAGACCTTAAAAACCAAGGTCACAATAGGCGTTGGCACAGTAGAGACCCCTCTCTGCTAAATGGTAGGTAGTGCCGAGTGTAAGTCTAATTTGAAGCCTTTCAAGGCATACCACCTCTCTAGGTGAAAAAATCTTCAATGGGACGTTAAACAACATGCAATTAATCATCCTTGTCGTCAGGTTTGTTTTCTGTTATTTAACCAAAACTAATGAACATAGGGGTTTCGTATATTTTTTGCACAGAATGGGCAAAGGATAACAAACCAAAAAACCGGACCAAACAGCAGTATAGAAGGAAACTATTACAGCTATATTGATACAAGTGACAGCAGAAGACAAAAAAATTTTAAAGCTGTACTTATTTCTAAATTTAAATTAACAGGTATAATTTATTTTGTCCACGTTGAAAAAATTCACTGAATATGTAAACTTTTGAAATGCTCATTCCATGAACATAAATGTGTGATGCACTTCACTTTTGCAACGCATGAAATCTGTGCATGAATAGTGTTTTGAGAAAATGTTTTGTCTTATATATGAAAAGTTAAATATTTCATCTTTAACGCTTCAATTCATCAAGTGTAAATACTTGATTTAATACATGTAATGTATTAAATGTTTTATTTTTTATGCAAAGTTAAAACAAAATTGATCTTTCTAGCATACATTCTTCTGTGTTTGTCAATTATGCATCTATCTCACTCAGACGCTATTGTACACTGAGCTTTCATATCTTTCTTTATTGCGTACTAAACATAGTAAACTTTTGAATATGAAAACAAAAAGCTTGAATATAGCAATTTTATGGAAAAGTAGGCTAAATTTTAAAAAAGGAGTATTCTTTCTTTGTTTAAATCAAACGTGTGTCAATGCGCTTTACAGCTGTATCGGAATTTATATCTTTATAAATCTGGAAAAAAGAGAAGAAAAAGATGGTCATTGAAAGTTTTACTGAAACCCATCATAAGAAATAAGAAATGTATTTTGTATTTGAAAGATGGTGAACGTATGACCTGATATATATTATTTTTTTTATTTGGAGCCGTCTGACTGCAATGTTTCATTTTCTCGGTTGTAGAGTATGGGTGTTTTAGCTTAGTTTTTTTAAGCTTTAAAACATTTAGTTAAATGATATATTAAACACATACAGTTCTTGTTATAGTTATTTTATCAAATGCACCCATGTAACCAGGAAAATACATTGTTTGTGCATTTTTAATTCTAAATATTAATAATATAATTTTTTAATATTATTATAAATTATAATATAATCATTTGATATTCACACATATTTTTTCACGTTTCAGATGTTAATATAACTTTCAGTATGCAGTATCATATGTATGGTAAGCACATTAACACACTTAGAGTTTACTTAAAAAATGGAACGATGGAATTGGAAATTTTCAGGAAAACAGGAAATCAAGGAAAGGAATGGAACAGGTTCACAAATACAACAAAAATAAAAGGAACGTGGAAGGTAATTTATTAACTTAAGTATACAAAATTAGAGAGATTTACAGAAGTTCGCCATGTCTTAAAAATATTTTCAATAAAGATTCACACAATGAATAAAACAGTATTGGTACTAAAGAAACCTGAATAATCTACCTCGCCAATCTTCTGCGATTATATCATGTTCTTTTCATTGGGAAGGGCACAAACACAGTACAATGTAAGGATAGCCGTGCCCCTCCTCCGCTTGAAAAGTGGGGGATATAAAGTGATTTGGTGTCTGCCCTTTACATTTAGAAATATCCATCTTTTATTAGCACATCCTCCTGATTGAAATTGTCACAAAATCTTTATTACATTGTTCCATTTTCACTATTAAATTTCCGTTTTCATCGTAAAGATATTTGTGATTTCCTTTTGCAAAACATGGACTTTGCCATTGGCTACTTAATATGTGAATACCAATCTCTTATCCACAACTCCTCTGCCATTGCTTCTGTCGCAATATGCCACTGGGGGATTTCCCCATCTGAGTGGTCATCTGTGGTGTATAGTCTGTTTTAGGCGTATTACCTGTAATTATCACCTGTGGTGTACAACTCCATTATCAAAATACATATCTTAAGGACATACGCAGGGTACCTTACCTATTGATAATTTTTCAAGATATTCTAAATTTAAACTTATAATACCATTACATTTTCTTAGGCAAAAATCAGCTTGCGTTACCAGGGATTTTGAAAAGTTATCAAATTATGAAACATTTTGCATTTTTCCAAGACAAATGTACAAAAATTATGAAACATAAATTCCAGATATCTTTTCCATCAAAATTGGTTTAGAAGAGGTGTATAAATCCATGTATAGACATTATAAGTATTGCACATAAGTCCTTCACATAGTGGAACTCTTCAACTCCAGGGAAGAACCCAATAAAACTCAAACTACGTTGCATATGACCTTACGGACAGATGATACAAACAATAAATGGATGACTGGATTGGTATATATTTTTGACCTAATTTTTTTGCAAATGATGCAAATAATAAATTTCTAGAAAATATAAAGAAATGGAAAACCTTCTGTGACGTTCAAATTCTACCCTTTTGAAACCATCCTTATCATTCTATACAAATATTTTTCACTTCAAATTCCATTTCTGTGCAACGAAAATTAAAAACTCCTAGGTGAAACTTATTCATTTTATTTATTAAAACATGACCCAAGTTGTTATTTTCAAAACTTTTGACAAAAGTTTGTTTGTATCATCTGTCCTTAATTATTTATTTTTCTAGATAATTATTCAGGTGTATGTATTAATAATTTCAATATGCATTCATATATACATGTATCAAAATCATTTTTAAATCTAAAAAAAAAATGATTAATTTACCTTTTGGATCATAAGTTATGAAAAGAGAATATATAATGTTAAGAATGATTTTAATAAATAAATCAATAAATTATTTACTTCATTTAATGATTATCATAATTAATGATAATCATTATACTGAATTTCTCATTTTCATTTAAACATCTGATAAAGGCACAGAAATTAATTCAAAATTTAAAAAGCATTATCAGTACCTAGTATATACTTTTATATTATCATTTAAATTTACGAATTAAAAAAAACATTATATGAATTAATATCAATAAAAATAAAATGACTATTGAGTTCAAAAACTGACAAATTAATTCTACCCTTCTCAACTAGCCAAAACCTGTTACCTATAACATTCACCAGTCACCTATATATAACAATTTAGAATTTTGGCTAAGTGGGAAGACCCCACTGGATGAAAGATAAATTTTCACAAAATCATAATTGCAAACTGCCATTGTGACCTTCTATTTTAAGTTCAGCTTGGGCGTATATAAGTGGTTTTCCCAAGTAAAACATGCTTTATCAGTAAACTCAAATAGGGAATACACAGTGTTACAGTACCTCTAATTTCAAAGATTTAATCTATTAACTTAAAGCAATACAGAACAACTTTTCTTTACATAACTTTACATAACTTCCCTCTGAATATTATTTTAAAGATTTTGATTGCTTTTCTACCAAATTGTCAATTTCAGTTGCTTATATCAGCAAATAAAGGCAATGGAAATCTGGGATATATTGCCATAGACGATATCCAGATAAAAATCAACCGACGGGGTATTTAGATTATTTTTTGATTATTTTTTTGTAATAAATCAGATTACTGTTGACCAGCCACAAGAGATGAATTTAAAATCAAATTTGAAGTCTTATTAACAAAACCATTACTTTAATATATTCTTTTTCATTCGGAAATTTATTTTTGAAAGAGAAAAATATTCATATATGATAAAACTTTTACATACATTTATGAAATTTTCATTTAATATTTGATGTGTTTTTGTTAAATTGTTAAATATATATTTTTTTATCTAATAACAAATGTTAAAATACGTACACATGCATGTACATGTAGAATGCAAACCTTGCCTTTTCAAAGTTTTCCTATTATTATTATATTATATTAAGAAAAAAATCATACAAAGGGATTCCATTTAAATTAAAGTATTTATGTAAAAAAAACTCTCTTGAAAAACAATAGACACACATATCATTATAAGGAAAATGAAAGTCTGTGCTTTTTTTAAAGTCGACACACGTATCAAGGAAAATAGGGTGTCATTTTAGAACTCTACACCTTGTCCTCACCCAAAAACAAAATTTATTTGGAAATTTACTGATAATTCACGTAACATTATTTTGACTTAAATTTGTTCATACGATAGCCCAATGGGATAGGAATTAGAGCCACAATACTTTTTACAATAAACTTTAAATTCAGAAGCGACTTGGCTACGCATTGTTACATTGTATTCAAATATAAGATCTACCATAAAACAGGACACAGAAAAACTTCCATTTTAAATGTTGCTGTAGATCTTTAGACGGCTTTCTAAAAAAAAATTAAGATGAATAACCAGAGAGCTATAGTGTCACCCAGTAAAAATGTGAATAATTATTGCGTTTTTCGATGAATTTCTCCGTATATTTCAAAATATTAATAACCTTGAGGCCCTAATATATTCTTTTATTAGTTCCGTAACAAAATTGCAGAACAAGTCATGCGCGAAGCGCACTGGATCGAAATGGCTTAAACACCAAAAATGGTAGTTTAAATAGAAGAAATTTTCGATGGTATCAATTTCATGTCCAGGAGGCATATTAACAAAGGTTTTTAGGAATTTTTTGTTGTAGAAGTAGTAAGAAAAATCTTAGAACACAAGTTAAATTATATTCTGAAATGGCACTTAAATATACGGAAAAATAAGTCAAGAAAACAGCAAACTTTTCATGAGCATGTAGACTTTTTTCAATGTGTGGCATTGTAGCTCCATGGTGGTCTATCCCAATTTTTTAGACCAGAACTGAAGCTACAGACCTGAAGCTAATTTAAATGTTACAAATATATCAATTTAATCTCCTTGAAAATAATGAAGCTTCAAATTTTAATTGAATGTACAACCTTTCTTCTATTGTATAAATTATATATTTATTTCAAATTTCAGTCCTTTTAAAGTTTAACAAAGAAGAGCATGCATACTTGCATATGAATAAATGCTCAGATAATTTTCTAAAATAAATATAAGAAAGTTACTTTGTAATATTCAAGTAACAGTAAAATATTTTGAGGATTCATTTCATTTATAAAAACAAAAACAATTTGTTTTGAATTTTTTTGTACATTTATATTCTCTACCTACCTTAATTTTATACAGTTATTAATATTATTGAATTAAGTTTTACATCATTTATTAAACTGTACTTACTGACTCTCTAATTAAGATTTAAAATACAACTGGATGAATCAGAATGAGAGATGCAAAGACAATCTGGGTGTATATGCCATCAATCATCGACAATTACCAAATCAGTCCTGTCTCTCCTTTGATTTTGATCGCTGGACAGGTATTATCAGACCTCAAAGAAGAGGTACCGCGACAAAGGGTGAGTTGTCAATTTTGTTTATAATGAGATAAGGTGACGAAACATAATCACTTTGTGTTTGTTTCATTTTTAAAAAGAAAAAAACCCGAAATTTTATTCAGATTCCTTCGGTCTCAATGAAAGAAAGAATTCGATTTTATTGAATTAAGTTACTTTTAGGACCCAAACATAAACTTAAATAAATGTCATGAAAATAAATGTATATTATTTCGTATTTCCTCGAAATATTTTTAAACACTCAAAATAACCATGTTTTTTAAACACAACACGATGAATAAGAAATCACCTTCTTTGAAAAATGTACATGTATTCTGTTCTAAAAAATTACAAAAGTGTTAGTATATATATAATAAAATATTCGGAATTCAATTAATTTTAAGACTTAGTATTCATAATTATAACCGTAAGTCCAGACGGCACAAATTATTGACACTTTATTTGCAAAAATACATGTACGTAACAAAATAGTATTCAAATAATTTAAAGGTCCGTGGAACTGTGGAATCTTTGATCGATTCACACAAAAATATACATGTATGCAACGTAACATTTTTTAGGGTTGGCTAAACATCCAACTAAAGTGCAAGTATACAGGAGCCTTGGTTTGAATTATAAATACATCTGGGAGGCGTTTAACTCAACTTTAACCAGACCGTTTGTTTGTGAAAAAAGTAAGTACTGTATGGCATTTAATCCATTATAAATCTACTAAATAAACTCTTGGTAAGATTAATATTAAAATATTTTTAATTCTTTTATTATTTTTGAAAATAAATTAATGATTGGCCATTTTGTTTCAACATAAATTTGAATAAAAAGCCTAAAATAGTTATAATAATTAGCATTTGATAGTAATTAAATAGTGATAATAATTAGCATTTATATAAAACGAATTTTGTTTCTTTTACTTGAGTGCGAGAAATATCCACAAAAAATGCTGCCAATATTCCATGCCGGGAACTATTTACTGGTATTTATTAGTGCATTTATATGTTAAAGTCGCCTAGTCGTAAAAATACTCATAATGTTAAACTGAAATATGTCGATTAAAAGATGGTACTAGTAATTGATGAACAGTATTACATGTATTTGTTTTAAAGATAGGTTTTTAATTCAGAAAATTTGCTTTAATCACAAAACATGCTTAAATGCTCGATTGTTAAATATGAAAGGTCAACATTAAAATATTTTAAATTAAGAGCAGCTAAGGACAAACTTTATCATTATACCGATTGTTCTCTACTAAATCATCGAATAATTCATGGACATGAATTGTATATTTTGTCTGATTCAGATCTAGTTCTTTTTTATTTTTATTTCAGATCTAAGAGAAGAAAAGGAATCTGTATATATATCGGCGACATCCTTCGGTGGTTAGTGCAAAACATATCTATCAAAGAAATTTTGTCCAATAAAAACTTTTAGTTTTCCTGGCCCAGTGGTTTTTGAGAAGAAGATTTTTAAAGATTTGTTCTCTATATTTCTATGTAAAATTTGGATTCCCTCATGTGGCCCCGCCCTACCCCCGGGGGTCATGATTTTAAGAATTTACTATTTACACTACCCAAGGATGCTTCCACATAGTTTCAGCTTTCCTGGCCCAGTGGTTCTTGAGAAGAAGATTTTTAAAGATTTGTTCTATATTTTTCTATGTAAACATGGATTAACTATTGAGGACCTGCCCTTCCCCCGGGGGTCATGTCAATATCATGGCCCAGTGGTTCTTGGAAGATTTTTAAAGATTTAATCTGACTATATTTTTCAATGTAAAACTTGGATTCCCTATTGTGGCCCCGCCCTACCCACAGGGGTCATTATTTTATTAATTTAATTTCTACACTACCCAAGGATGCCTCCACATAAGTTTCAGCTTTCCTGGTCAAGTGGTTCTTGAGAAGAAGATTTTCAAAGATTTGTTCTATATATTTCTATGTAAAATTTGGATTCCCTATTGTGGCCCCGCCCTACCCTCAGGGGTCATTATTTTAACAATTTAATATCTACACAACCCCAGGATGCCTCCACATAAGGTTCAGCTTCCTGGCCCAGTGGTTCTTGAGAAGAAGATTTTTCAAAATTTGTTCTATATACTTCTATGTAAAATATATTGAAACATGATTTTAACAATTTAATATCTACACTACCAAAGAATGCTTCCACATAAGTTTCAGCTTTCCTTGGTTCTTAAGAAGAAGATTTTTTGATGATCCTATTTTTGTCTTTTCGTGATTATCTCTCCTTTTAAAGGGACTTGGCCCTTCATTTTAACAATTTAAACTCCCCTTCAACCAAGGATGCTTTGTACTAAGTTTGGTGAAAATTGGCCCAGTGGTTCTTGAGAAGAAGTCGAAAATGTGAAAAGTTTACAGTATGACAGCTAACCAAAATGTGATCAGAAAAGCTCACTTGAGCCTTCGGCGTTCACAGATGTGGTACAGTACTAAAGTAATTGAGATATAATGCAAGATGTATACATGTACATTTTCAAATGTAAATATGTACATGTACAATTCTTAATACAACCTCTATTTGAACGATGCTAATTAATATTCAATTGATAGCCTTTTGGTGAGGTCGACCCCTAGATATTCTTTAGACCTAAGATAAAGCATATTGACGGAGCACGAAGTGCGAGGTCGATATACTTTCTCTAAGGTCTATATATCTAGGAAATGTACCGGATCCAAAGTCTACAATTGTTTTATTTTTTTATCCGTTAATAAGAAATGTCTTAAAATCCATGTTTCTAATACATGTACTCAGTACCTTCTCATATAAGGCATTGTTGTGTCATTATTTTGACGTCACAGTAATGAATAGCAGCTGCAGTATCTGTTTTTTAAAAACACTCAGTTTATAAAGACTATTGTGATGTCAACACTATTGATGCTTCACAGAAAAACGTTTCAAAGTTTAGAAACAGCAGGTTTATAAATTTTTAGAATAGAAACGTCAAGTTTATAACACTTTTTATACTTGATCATGAGATCTAGTTTGAGCCAATCAGATAGTTGGAACAATACAAAAAAATAATAATTCATTTTATTTATAGATACAATAGTGGGAGTGCTTGTCGCCTGTGCTTCAATTATCATTCTTTGCATCATAGTTTTTGTGATTTATAAAAAACGGTATTTAAGTTTTTTTTATTTTAATTAAAGCATTCATTTGGCTTAATAATGAGCAATTAATATTTTGCAAGAAGATTCGTCGTTTGAAATATATAAAATTTGACAAGTGGAAAATGAAAATACTAAAACAAGAATTAAAACTATGAAGGAAAACATACCTTTTTTTAACAGCTTTCCTATTTTACTGTATTTAGGAAGAAGGCGACCAAATTTAAAAAGCAAAATGACATTTCTCCAATAACTAAGAAAAATGCAACTTATCTAAACGACAGTGAAACCAAACATTCAACAGAAAAAAAATTAATAGAAGTAAATAAGCAGAAGACGCATCAAAGAAAGGAACTCAATGATTATGATAAGATTAACCATGATGCTGCTAAAAGAAAATATGACTTATCCTTAGAAAATGATAAGTTTCGAAAAGAATGCGAAGAAGATTACGACCACCTCCATCAAACTAGCAACAGTATGACGTCAAAACCGGATGACCTTTACAGTCACATGACAGGAAGTCAATACGAGTCCCAAAGGATAATTACCGATGACACTTACGCACACACAGTCGAAATCGAGAATGAATACGGTGCACGACAGTTAACTCATCATAATGATAATGAAACTTATGACCATGCGCTTGCGCTTGATATCGACCCAAGTGGGGAGTACAATAAGCTGCATCAAGATAATTGAGATAATGAAACTTTACATAATTAATTTGCAATGCAGCGGCGGTAATGTTGACCTCCCAAGATGGGTGCATATCATTACTGCTACATTTTCAACCCCCTTTTTTTAAAACAATTCTTGAAGGACTGATAAACAAGATATCAAGAAATTGACAATTACTTAAGATACTTATTGTCACTGTATTGCCATTTCACAACAGTGTAGATCTTTTTTACATGGCAATTCTACTGTAGTTGTTATATTTCAGATTGTTATTCAACTGAACAATATGTCCGATAGAACAATATTCAGCAAGTAAAGAATAAAAATATAATTTTAAGGATCAATGTATTGGCTAAAATTAAAAAAATGAAAGAAAACTTGATTGTCATTTGGGAACTCGTTTGTTAAGCAAATATTTTTCTATTCAGGATATGAATATAAAATATGAAAACCTTTGTAAATGTAAGTAACGCTCGATTTTTGTTTAAATAAAATATATTTTTTATGAAGTTTAAGTATGTCGTTTGATTCGTTTTTTTTTATGGATTGAGAAGTTGGATGTTGATTACTTGAACTTTTAATAAGAGGAAAATGCATACTTATCGTACAATACAAGATTTTGTACTTCAGTCATCCGTTTGAGGTCTTAAAAGAAAGGAGATGCTACTAATGAATATTGATGTAATATTGCAATGGATTCTAGTTCACTGCATCAGGACAGTTTTTATGTGCTCTCTTTGCACTTCTTCTTTTTAAAGGTGAAATTATTTAAATGATTTTTATTCAATTTACATGTAGGATACCAGTCATTTTCTAAAAGGGCAACTGGCCTCCAGCAGAAAAATATAAAAAATCAATAGGCTTTTAAAGGAGCATAGACACAGTTTCAGATAAAAATTTTCAAATTGTTTTTTTCATTTTTACAAATATTTAACTATGGTCTTTTTAATGATCATCAAAAATTTGAACTTCAGTTGATGAGATACAAGACAGATTTAGAGCTCTAAACCTTTGTTATGTAAATAGGGTCCGTGTCATGTTTTGTTTACATAGATTATTATGCTAATATAAGTTCGTACAAAGCAGATAATTTCAATTTAGAAGATAATTCTGCATACAGTTAGACAGTTTTTAGTGATTTGCTGAATTTCATTTGTTACAAATTAAATAAGATATTTCATATATGTAAACAAAAACAAACCACGAGCCCTGTTTACATTTTGAAGAATTTTAAATTCTGTATCTCGTTTGTTCATCAGTAAATGATGTTCACATTTTTTGCTGATCATTAGATGGTACCTTAGTTAGGAATTATAGGCATTAAAATTGGTCTAAAAAATTCAGTTGAAACTGTGTCCATGCCCCTTTAAAGTCTTAAGTCCGTAAGACATCCATGTATGAAATTTGGCAGACCCGGTGGTATCTTTTAATTTCAACTTCAGAGTACTTGTGTGTAGAATCAGATTTATTTTTAATTAAGTAATTTTGTTGATGACCACTCACAAGATAGGACAATTTCTTCCATTTATAGAAGAAATAGTTGTCTATGATCTCAAGAAGACTAGTTTTTAATTTATCGTGAGGAATAGTCGTATGAAATATAGAAAAGTCGAACTTTATGATGTTACACTGATTTGGCGATTTTTTTTATTTTTTAAAGTTCTTTGGAGTTTTTGAGAATCCACATCTGATTAACATTTTTTTTAAAATATACTGTAGAACAGAACTTTCGAAGTTTCTCTTGAATTGCAGTTAATATTTTTTAAGGTGTAAAGATAGAGGCCTAGTAGAGGAATTTGCTAGACACTTAAATGTATTTCTGTTAGAAGGCTTTTTATGACAATTAGGAATCCAGTATAAGTAGGGTTGATCAAACTTACATTGGTTGACTGGAATGATAAAAGTTTTAAACATTGAAATGTGATTTTGAAGAATTTTTTTTCTGTAAAAGGAACTATGTGCATAAATTCAAGTAGAATTAAAACCAAATTCTTCTAAAATAAAGTTATAATAATGAGCTTTGCAAACAAAGAAGATATATTGTTACAAGTCTCGTCTGCTTGAATCATAACATATTGTATATGTAGAAATAGTACCATGGTATTGGAAATTTTTGAAGTGTGGCATACAGATTATCAAAATGTATGACAAATAATAAAGAAAATTGTCCTTTGTGGTCTTTACCTCATTCGAACCCATTGCCATTCTCATCAGTGCACTTTGAAGAACCTGAAATTTTGGATAATATTTTTAAGAAGTTTTTACAAATGGATGAGTATTAAAGGTAACTCTTAACTTCCAACTGATTTTCTTTTATCTATAAATTGAGACCTATCAACCATGTTCAACGTGATGTGTTTAATATCAATACAATAAACGTATCGAACAATTTCCATTGTGTATGCTAAGCTAAAGCTTATATACGTAACAATGTTTTCTCTAATTCTTATGTGTCACTAAAATTATAATTCATGCATTCGAACATTAACTTAGTCGTTTTGCATCCAACCTTGAGTCATGTGAATTTCAGTGAGGCTGTGCTGTTTTTCCATATTTTTGTGTTTTGTTTTCATCGTATAAAGTTTAATCTATAAAGTTACAAGCATGTTGTCAGGGTCGGCAGCCCTGGATAAACTAAACATAAATCATTTTTATTGTATGTTCTGTGGAAATTTATAAAATAAATATAGTAAACCAAAGGCAAACAAACAGAAAAATTATTTTTCTTTGCTTACAGTCCATATATGTTATTTTTCCAGTTTCATTTTAAACTTTGGTTTATCCTGTCAGAAATCTCTGGGTCCCTTTTGGATTTTAAAAAGGAGAATTATAAATAACAGTACACATGTACTGTCATTATTTTATTGATGTTATATAATTCACTTAAAAGTAATGAAACAGAGATAGACCCGTTGATTACATTCTTCAAAACTTGTAGGCTGGCCATCTGGATGAAAATCTTCCTTGTATAATTTGAAAAATATCAATTATCTGATATTTTTATATATTTCCATTCTACTTCAGGGGGTATAATACAGACTGTCACATTATATTATCATTCTTAATTCAAAAAAAGTTTTCAAAGACATCTTTCAAAAAGAATTTGTTATTTGAATTGAAATAATTTATAAAGCTTGTTAAACTGTTACCGAAACAAAGACAAAATTCTAATTTTGGTCTATTACTATAAAAGCGTTTTTTTTTTCCATGCGGAAATATTGTGATTTTTAAAATATTTGCGAAACAATGTTATCTTAAACCTTCAAATAATTCATGAACCATTACTTGAACCATGAATCATGACTCTGTAATATATATTTCTTTGCTATTCTAGCTTTGTGGATTATGGCTAATGAAAATTTTATTAAATATTTTTTTTTCAAGATCTCGCTTAAAATTTAGGAGGTGAGGGTTAGTCATTAGACACAATCTTATTTTCCATCCTATGTAAACTTTAAAATTTATTTTAACGTGATATCTTTAGGATTTAATCAAGCATTGAACCGGTGGATCGATATTTTAAGATTGAGTATTATAAGTATAAAGTTTTAACTAGTTGTATGCTATAACATTTGATAATATATAAAAATTAATTGTACATTCATTAATGATAGTTTATTAATGCAAATATATGGAACATAGACCAAAAACCTTGTTGACAAACAGCATTATACAAATTTTGAAGTCACCTTTGAAAAAAAAACTTTTATCGGTTATCTCTAAATATCAGAGAGAATTCAGGTGCCATGGAGTATTTTTTTTCTCTGAACCGGTCACACCCGCCGATATATCTTTTAAAAATTATAAAATTAACTGAATATAATCCATAGTAATTTTTATATTAATATGCATATTTAATAATGAAAAAAAATAAATATTTTTAAAGATTTTTTAAAAAGGGAGTATAGTAACGAGGGCTAGAATATTGCCCATGTACCCTTTGTTGTGAGAAAAATGCTCGGGTTTGTTCTTCCTGGGTTATACATGTAAGCGATAAATTTAACTTTTCATTTTTCAATGTAAACAAGACTATTTTTTTGTGTGACCGAAAAAAACTTTTAAAAAATATACAAGAAAAACATTCATAATTTGACAAAAGTTAAAATAAGTGGACATTTATTTTTAATGTAAGAACAAACGAATATCTAATTTTGTGACGTAGAATCGGACCAAGCGGCTTTAGGAGTGAGTATTATAAGTATAAATTTTTAAATAATTGTATGCTATAATATCTGTCTAATATGCATATCTTTACTCTGTATATTCAATAATGCACTATGTATTTGTTATGAAATACATGGAGTCACATGCTAAGCTCAAAACTCCATTATACAAATTGTATAGAATAATTATAATAAGGCATAATAATATATATAATTTCTAGGTGCCATGGAGGAGTGCAAATTCTCAAATGTTTAATCACATCCGCATTTAATTCATTAATGCTGTGAAAAAAAAGAAAATTAGTTGACAGTTCAAAAATGTGAATAATGAAAAATAATAAAATTATTATCCAGAAATTTCCCAGTAGAAATGTGAGAAACCAACTAACAAGTATTTTCAGCTGTGACAAGTGATGTGAACAAAATTACTACTCTTCTCAAGTATTAAGGAAAAATTTTACTGTTTATTTTTTTTATTTAAATCATTTAGACCCTCTAATATGTTTAATGTGGGAAGATTTGGCGTCATTACTTTAAATATCCGAAAAAAAACTTCCTGTACAGTTGATTTGTTGTTCTGGGGAGGGGGGGTACAATATTAAAGCTTTACCGCTGAGTATGAAAATTAAAGTGTAATTGTAATCCTTTATATGAATTATTAGTGACTGGTATGATACATTTATTGCATGATCGTGAGGGAGATATAATGAGGATTTATTCAGCCAAGAAAAATCATATTCCCCGAGGGCTGAATAAATCTTGATGTTTCCCGAACATAAGTTCAATAAATTGTTTATAATATCGGAAAATGCAAAAACTTTAAAAATAAACATAATCTTTCAAATTCGGAACTACTATCAAAGTCACGTTTAAAAAACGATAAATATTGCGGGAAAATGCACTAGGTATTCGAAGAGGTTAAATATGATGAAAGGCATGCCGAAAAGAGGGAAATATGAAGTTTTATGACCCTGTCATATGATAAGCTAGAACCAATCAGATAATGCCTTGTATAGAATAATCATAATTAGGTATAAATAATATATATGATTTATCTATAATTCGTGAGGCAAAAACATTCAAATGTTTCATAATGTATGTATGGAATCATTAAGTGCTGTATTATTATGCTCCATTATAAAGTAACACATAACTCTAAAACAACCTTTTTTCCGATCTTTTCATTCAATTAAAAAGTATTGAATTACATATATATATATATATATATATATATATATATATATATATATATATATATATATATATATATATATATATATATATATATATATATATATATATATATATCAAATTACAACAATTGTTGTAATTTGTCTAAATA